CGAAGCGCTCCTCCTCTCTGGTCTCCTGACTCCACTGGTCAGGGTCCACTTTGGTGTAGGACAGGTACGCATCGTAGTCTTTGTTTTCTGTATAAAAAACAGGGAGTGGATTATGAAAAATGTGTTTTAAATACAGTGACATCCAGCTCAAAGCTCATGATATCCCAGGACTCCTCGTGGCACAGTCGAAGACATGTAATCACAAACTCTAGAGAGATACGCATGTGGAAACCTGAACATTACACCCTTATTTGATTGAAACGATCTCATTCATAATCCATGCAGGTGTTCTAGCAATTTAATTTAGCTTTGACTCAAATTTCAAAGCAATTTCAATTAGAAAAAAAAACTTTACCCAATCATCTTCACAAATTAACTTTGGGCTTGAAATCTCATCTGCGTAGCACAATTTGAAGCCTGTATCAAATTAAATAATTCATCACTCATTTAGTTTATTAAAGCCACCGCTTGCTTTAATTACATTTGTTGAATTATAGGCTATTATCAAGTAATCATTTTCAGATAATTCTGCCAGAAATTAAACTAACTCTTGTCGAGTATGACAGTATTTGATGGTAATTTCTTCAAAGATTATCCTAAATTTTTTGATTTTAGCAGTAAGTCAGTATTCAAATGATGGAGAAGAAACTCATTGTTTTTATGAATATGTTGTAGTTCAGTACATTTGACATATTCTACAGACTGACTTTACACTACAGTTGAAATGACTTTCATACAGGACAAAATAATGATTGTTTGTTGCATTGGTTCCTCAAGTACTGTACTGAAGTTTCTTTTTACTTTACTTAAGTATTTCCATTACATACTACTGTACCTATACTTCTACTCATTCCACGACAGGGAATATTGCACTTTTTACTCCATTACATTTATTTAACACTCTTAACATGTATATATAAAAACACAGGATATACTTCATTGATATGATGCAGTACTGTACTACTTTTAAAGCCAGTATTTTACAAAGTCTCTAAAATGTGCTCCACGGTGACACACTGCAAGTTTAAAATACTCTTAATTGTGAAAAGTATAATACCCTACAATAATAACAATCTGTGATAGAGCCATTTTCATTCTGAGTACTTTACAGTACAGTAAACACTTTAATGTTATAGTGTTACCTGTAATGGAGTATTTTAAGAACATATTAGCGCTACTTTTACTAAATGAAGAACTGATCCCCTTTGATTGGTTCACATTGTCTGTCCTGCACTGAACACAACGTTTGTTTTCATGCAACACACCAAACCACTGATATTTTACTTTTCTGTAAACTGCTGCTTTAACAATTCTCGACTCTTCAGAGAGGGCTTTCTTCAAGCCATAGATTCAGGAATTTGCTCCGCTTTAGCCACAGGGGTGTTAGTGAAGTCGGCCACTGATGTTAGGCTCGTTGCAGTTCATTAGTTCACGTTCCAGTTCACCATTTCTCTCTGGATCGGATTTTCCTCGCGTTGAAACCGAAAAAAACACTTCTCCCAAATGCAGTTTCATACTTATTTTGAAACATTGTGGCCTACATAACAAAATCCAGCCGCACACTGACGGTACACAAGAGCATTAGTTCAGGGGTTGTCCATTTATCTTTGGCTATATGTCGAATATAGGAAACAAATTGGGGTAGATACAAGAATACCCAAATCAAGTCGCAGGCAATACCATTTTCCCCACCTCAAAATGATTTCCCAGAAGACAGTGGCAAAGAACTGAACAGGCAGAAAATAGAAGATGGGGGGAAAAAACCACTACTGGTGACATGTTCAGTGAGTCCTAGTCATTACGCTTTGCAGAAACAGGATTGTGGGCCAGCCAAAAAGGGAAGAGGGTTTTTTTACAGAAACCCTTTGAGGAGCTTGCGCAGCTTTGAAACTCTCTGGAAAGGCCAGGACTGCGCTCGATAGGATCCAAACATCAAACAACGCTTTCAAATTAGCAACCAGCCTCAAATTAACCACCTAGCAAACTTGGAAAATCAAAAACAGCTTGTATCTGCGGTTCCCTGACGGTATGACTTAATCATGTGGAAGTTTGAATCAACAAAACAGCGTGTAATAGATAATTCATGCTACTGTGGAAACAATACAATGATTCAAGTTTGGGTTCAGTCTTTCCAGAATTCTTGAAAAGAAAAGCGGCAAAGGAAAGCCAAAAGGGAAAAAGTCTGGGGCGCAAACAGAGGAATCGTTAACTTCAGCAAAAGTTAACTGTGTTCTGGAGAGAAAACAGAAAGTTGCCCCGCAATTTCAAACTGTTTACGGCCCCATTTGTCTCTCAGGAAAGCAGCTTGGAGCCTGCCCGGTCCCCCTGTCCCGCTATCTGGCCTTCGACAGCAGAGGGTGGGCATCATCCCATGACATATTGAGACTGATCTCTTTTTAAATGGGCAACAAATTGAAAATCTGTCTCCTCTCTTCCCTATGCAGCCATTGCGGCAACACACACACACACACACACACACACACACACACACACACACACACACACACACACACACACACACACACACACACACACACACACACACACACACACACACCTTCACGTGTACCTCTACACCAACAGTTGAGGAAGAGGAAATGGGCTGCTGTCACTGAGATAGGAGGCGACATTTGTATCTAGCGGGGAGTCTGTTGTGGAGAGAGGCTCTGACATCACACACACACACACACACACACACACACACACACACACACACACACACACACACACACACACACACACACACACACACACACACACACACACACACTACATCTCATGCACATGGATAAACAAACAGGACATAATCACATCCATGGAAACAAACCCAAACAGGCACATACGCAATCATCTATGCACGCTTGACATCGAATTTGAGATGAGAGAAAGGCCAGGACATTTTTTTTTGCAGGTCTTCAGATAGAAACTGAGTTTATGTTTGTGTTGCTTTTTCACTTTCTTTACCTCCATCAACATCCTCGCTGCCAAACTGCCTCCGATAGAAAAGCATCAGCTCGATCTTGTAGCATTTGTAGAGGGAAATGAGGAAGATGAGGAGCAGCAGGATCGCTCCCAGCCCTCCTGCCAGCTCCACCGTGTACATGAGCTCTGCTAAAGACACACAGACCAGAACATATTTAAAAACTGCTGAGACAGTGGAGGCACGGTGTGGTGAACACCGCTACGTCTTATGAATACACAAAAACAGGCTATTGACTCGGCAGGTTAAACCCACAGATTCTTTATTCTTCATTTCCCTGTTAAAGACGCAACATTAGGCACTTATGGGACGCATTTACATTTGATGAAAGGTTTGGCAATAATCAGTATTTTCAGAGCGAAGCGGCATCATTCTTCAAAGAGGGGGAAGACGGCTCAGGATGACTTTGGGAGAAACGTGCACAGTGCAGGGAGACGTGAAAAAGAGGATGGTGAGAGATTGGGTTCATTTCTTTGGAGCAGCAACACAACTCTGCACTTTGTCTGTCGTCCATTCTGTGACTTGAGACAACTGTGGACATGGATGAAGGCACGTTCAAAACAAGAGGCTCCACTTCTCTCTCTCCATCATACACACCCCCCCTCCTTTCTCTCCACATTCATTTATCTTCTCGATTATCTCCTCTCTATCCCCTCAGAGGCCTGGCTCGGGGAAACATGAGTTATGTTGTTTATGAAAGCAGCATTTACCTGGTTGGCCCAGCGAGAGCAGGTTCACCTTATATCTGTCACTGTGGACTGGAGCAATGCACGGCTGCCATGGCAACCGCTATGCAGCTTCTATATTATCTCAGATTATGTGCACTGCAAATGTACACAGGCGTACCTTCCCATTTCTCTGATTGACATAAGATATCTGCTCTAGTTCTCAATGCCAGCGTTTTATATTAGTGATTGTCTTTTTTGTACAAGCTAGTGATACCTAATTACTTTCAATATGATATCGCCTATTTAAAGAAAAAGGATAACATATTTGAGGCTATAAGGCATGGTGGTATGAAGAAAATCAAATATCACAACATTTTTTATCAAATACTTCAATATAAATATTTTGTACGATATTGTAGGTTTGAGAATTTATGCTTTGCAATAATAATTTTGATAAATAATCATTGACAAGCAGATTTATTTGGCTATAAGCGGGTAAAGGCAAATAAAAATAAGAGCTAAAACAAGCTGGGATTTAAAAAAAATGTCATCACTTTACTTTAATGCAGCTTTTAAAATCAAAAAGACACTTATTTGATACTACCATATCTAAAATGTAATACCATATCTAGTCTCATATGACAACATCAATATTACATTGCAATATTGCCGAGACCTAGTTGTCTCACCCCAAGCTTACACCTAAAAGATTGATTGTATATTTTTGAATTCTAACTAAAGATGTCGCAATGTTGCATTCGTAATACCACTATCTGCTCTGTGCAATAAATATGAAACAACAGCCAGAAATGTAGCTTAGCTATCTTAGCTTTAAGACTGGAGATGTGGGAACAGCTAGGCTCTGTCGTAGGGCAACTTTGTAAAATGTACTTTTGGACCTTCCCTCATATTTTAAACGTTTTTAACTAGTTGTAGATGTTCCACTGACTACTATACGTTCCTCTGCCTTTTTATTTCTCGTACTCTTCAGATATGAAAGTGAAGGAAGCCCTGCAGCACAGACATTCACAAACCTGCTGCAGGGCTTATGACTGATGCATTCTGGGAGGGGAAACATGAAATAAACATCAGAATAACGTGTGAGACACAGAGAAAAAGTCTTTCTTAGCATTCCTCTTCTTGCCGCTTTGAAAGAGAGTTAAATGAAGCTGTCTGGAGTCGACAAAGACACTCAAAAGGAAGTGGGCCATCTACAAAAGACGGTCAGAGAGACAGAGATTAAAGCGGGGAGACAGACAGATAAAGACTTAAAATGTAATTGTATGCTGAACTTATTGGCCTGTTGGGAAAAGCCGAGGAGCAATTTGCTGTTTAAACAGCCATCAAATTACCTCTCCTTGCAGGGTGACAACCAGTGCATGAAAAGAGCTTCAGACAAGTCATGCTAGAGAGCCAGAAACGCTACGCAGCTGCTGGAGCTCATGTTGGAAGGAACGGAGCGACCAAATGGAGCTCAAGCACAGAGCATTAACACACACATGGAGGGATAAAGAGAAACGAAGCCTGTGTGAAGATGGCAGTGAGGAGTTTGGGTTGTGAAGTGAATGTCTTCTTTGTCTTAAAACAGGACATTTTAAAGATGCCCCTTGGACTTTGAGTAACTGGGATGAACATTTCTCACTGTATTCTGACTTTTTATTGACTAGTTGGCGATACAAATGAAATGATAGCCAACACCAGCTCTACTTTAAATTGAGCGATTTTGAAACTGAAAAGTTGTTTAAGAATGAGCTGAAATATGTTAAAGTGGTTTGCAGGGCGGAGGAACACTGCAGTCGGGTGATCATTCTCTGTGGTAGTGTTGCTGCAGGTGACAGATTCCACATTACACATACTAGTCATTATTGCTATAAAATGTTGATTAAAGCATCTTTATACTCAATTATGTCAGGGTTTGAGTTTTTGTGTGTCTAGTTTTGGGGTTATTTTGCTGTTCTGTCCTCTCTGTCGTTAGTTTCCCTGGGCTGCAGTCGAATAGTCCATTTAGCTTAGGAACCTTCCTAACCGAGTGAAATGACCCGGAAGTCCCTCAGTGGCAGCCATGATAAGTGCCGTTCAAATTCTCCAAATGAAAGGAAAGGAGGTTTCAAACTTCCTTTATAACCTCCTTTAGCTTAGGAACTACTGTACATCCCTTACCGAAAGGAGAGGAGAAAATGCTGCCCCACAATGCTTTGCAGCCGCAGCATTTGACGTCACACAACAGTCGGCCGTTCACGGAAACAAACGATTATGACCGCGAAATTCTATCATGAAAGTTACGGTGCTTATTAAGCATTTTAAAACGTATGTGGTAAGTTGCCAAAGTGCTTTGTTTTGAACGTTCATCAGTATTATAATCAAAAAGAGAAATATGAACGTTAGTTTTTACTGAAATGATCAAATAAAGTCAACATTTCACAGTCTTTACTGAGCTGTGTGGGGGTTGTTCAACTTTTAAAAGATGTTTGAATGGTGAT